TTTTTTTTAATCTTGAATGCAAAATGTAAATATATTTTGTTTTACAATTTCAAATAATTACTACCCTAAGTTAGTCACTCTGTCAGCTAAAAGCATATTTTACAGTCTCTATACTATCATTTCTTGTTTATTAATCACAATTAATCCGATTAATTGTATATATGTTTAATTTGTATATATATATATATATTAATTATTATTATTATAATTTTTTTTTTGCTGATAGAATTTTTCAGTTTATCAAAGTTAAACAGAACATCTATTTTCTTTGTTGCAGAGAGCATCAAACCAAGATTCAAGCCGTCTCGTGACCACTGTTCTGGGAACGTGGAAGTGTTGTATGAAGGCCTTTGGCTCCCAGTGCATAAAGATGCTCTCAAAGATAAAAATACTCAAAAAACCATCTGTGAGGAGCTAAAGTGTGGGGCAGGTTGGGTACAGACGACTCCCCATTTAGGGCCTTCAAAGGAGACTCATCTCATCAAAGAATTGCAGTGTGATAAATCTAGGAGGTCACTAGCACTGTGTAAAAAAATTGCTGCGGAGAAAGCGGATAAAAACATCATCAAAGCTTCAGACCTTGGAGGCCTTATCTGCTCCAGTTAGTATAATTGTTTGTTTTTTTTTTTTCTAAAAGATTTAAATGTTTAAAATAATGGCTAAAACATCTCTACTCCGTCACTTCATGATGGTCTCTCCAGAGAAAAATGTTTTCTTTACAGGAATAGTTTATATTTCTTTTCTCTTAGAGACAACAGTTCAATTTAAATTTAAAAGCATGTTTAGCTGCACATTTCGTTTCTGAATTTAAGCTGTAAAAAGCAAAGTCTGCAGGTTTTTTTTCCTCACTTCTTGCCCTTAAATAATTGATAGTATGTTGACCTAAGCAAGCTTAGCTAGGATTTACCTGTGTGATAAATAGTTACAACACCTCAAGCCATAAAACCTGCAAAACAGAAAGGCCCTATGGATTATTGTCATAGTGTAACTAGTCTTGGTAGACGTCTTTAACTTGCTGCCAACATGTGACTTTGTATGCTAAAGGTATTCTTATTGGCCATGGTTATGAAGGGAACCGATTCAAAATCTACATTGATTTAAAAATAAGAAATGTAAAACTTTCTGCTTTGTAAGCAAGTAAGTAAGTGAGGTTTATTTAAATAGCACCTTTCTTAAAGAGGCATCACAAAGTGCTGTAAAATATGAGGCATACATTACAAAAGCAGCACCATACAGAATACATATAGGCTGAGTCGCTGTTTTATAGTTTTTGAGATTGGAATGTATCTGATAAAACTTCAAAGTAGTTTTTTTTTAAATAAAACACAAAATAAGGCATTTTATTTTGAATAATACCTCCATTTCTTGTCAAACAGGCATGCAAGCGAACACTCATGTTGACCTACAATTTAGAGAGACCTGTTAACCTATCATTTCTAAACTTTGGGAGAGGACTGGAGTACCCAGAGGGAATTCATGTGTGCATTGGGAGAACCTGCAAATCTAATGCTCAAAGGGCCCAGGCAGGGATTTCAACCAAGGACTTTCCCACCCAGCAATTATTGGTTTATAAAGATGACATAATTTACGTCCAAACAACGTCTACTGTCTTTGCTTTAAAAGTGAAAGTTTAAACGCAGGAATTTTCAGATCATTGAAAACATGCAAAAAACTTGGTTTTAATAATATTTTTGGACTTAATTGGGACAAAAACAGACTAACCAAATTTAACCCAAATTCCTTTAACTATTTCTGGACTAAATCTAGAGTATGACGGACTGACCAGATTTAGTCTAAAGACCGACGTCTAAATGACATCTGGTGTTTGGGAGGTTCTTTCTGTATCTAACATACGGTTATGCGTTTCCTCGGTAAGTTTTCTCAGAATATTGAAGTAAAGCTTTCGTTCTTCCCCTGCTCTTTTTCTCAGATTGGAGTAAGATGGCACTTGAAGTGGAGGACTCCTGTAAAGGAAAAGTGGTTGTTTACTCTGGACAAACTGACCAAGACGAAGAGGCAAAAAGAAGTTTCGTCTCTTTTGAAGGCTGGACACAGAAAGAAGGAGAGATGCTCTGTAAAGATCTGCACTGCGGCCCATATATAAATATAAAACCCATTAAAGATGCTGAGATTAATTCTTTATGGAATAAAAAGTTTAGTTGTTCTGGAAGAGAGAAAAGCATTTGGGAATGTAAGACCGAACCAAACAATAACACAAAGACAGAAAAAGTCATCCTTGAATGTAAAGGTAAGATTTTAACTTGTTGAAGTCGGAAAACTTCATCTAAAAAAGAAGCTTAATACCAGTGAAATTAAAAAATGGGACAATTAGACTATAGTTACAGTTTACAGTTTATTAAGCAACCATCAACGCCACAGTCTTTTCCAAACAAAGTTGAAAAACAATCCAGTTGACTTTGTTTCCAAGTTTGAAGATGTTTTGCCTCCAATCCAGGAAGCTTTTTCATTTCAAAATGTCAGAAATAGCATTGAGTTCAAGGCTTTATACAGAAGCTCGACAAAGGCTTGTTTTTGTTTAGAAAACATGCAAATTGAAACGGACAAACAGGTCCGCCCCTTTGGAATGGCGGTAGTTTAGCTTCTTTTGTTAGCCTGCAATGCCCCATACCTGTCTATGTCTCTATAGGGGGGGGTCATTAAAATTGACCTGGCTGGGGTTGCAACGAAACGTCTTCAAACTTGAAAATGAAGTCCAGAGAATTGCTTTTTAACTTTTTTGGAATGACTAGGACCTGGATGGCTGAGAATCTTCACCAGCGTCATACTTTTAGGGCAAAGTGAAAGCAGCATTACCTTTAATAAGATCGGAGTTCATGTTTTTGTCATGGGTCAGTAGATTGACACTGATGCAGCGGCTACAAATTCACAGCTGTAAGCACAAAAAAAGTGACGGAGATTTCACATCAAGACAAAAAGCTAATGGTAGAACCTAACAGGAAGTGTCTGAAGCAGCTCAGTGGTAATATATAAAACCTTCCTCCCTGACCACTGATCTTTGAATCAATCTGACTGGATGATCTGGTTGAATTGTCTCCGTAAAATGCCTGGAGATGATGCGTTGTGAAATGGGACTATAGACCTAAACTGAATTGAATAGAAATGACTCTTCAACATGCATTATGTGATTAATTGAAGGAAACTAACCTTTGATTTCTCCTCCTTCTTCCTCTACAATAGGTGAACCTAAAGTTGCCCTGTCTAATGGCTGCAGTGGAGAGCTGACAATAGATGACAAGCGAGTGTGTATGAGTCAGTGGACGGAGGAAGACTCTCATAGAGTTTGCCAAGAACTGAACTGTGGCAACAGAATTTACAATGAGACTCTAAAAAGCAAGGAGAAGTCCTTCCATGTTCACTGTGATGAGCACCATTACCGCATTGGTCAGTGTCAGAGGGTAGAAGCGCCTTGCGACGCGGGTACGGTGTTTCTTACCTGTGCAGGTGAGTGTCTGTTCATCCCATTTCATCTCATTCCACCATGCCCATATGTTTCTGTTCGCATAGGAGACTATTTCTAAAAATAAAAAAACACATACAATGTTCTTAATACGAAGCTTTATTTTCTTGTTACCTTTTGTATCTCTGCTTCTTCCTGCATGACTGTATGTCTCCTCGAACCCCAGTCGGCCTCAGCAGATGGCCGCTCACTCTGAGCCTGGTTCTGCTGGAGGTTTCTTCCTGTTAAAAGTTAAAAGTTTTTCCTCTCTACTGTCGCTACAAGCATGTTTATTGTGAGGGATTGCTGAAGAGTCAATGAGTCGATGCAATCAACTGGTTTTCCTTAGATAGAAAACTTTGAATTAGTTTGACTGGATGATCTGGTTGACTTGTAAAGTGCCTTCAGATGACATGGATTAAATTTAATTGCTAATCAAAACAGAAATCAGAATAAAAATGGTTCATGTTGCAACATTAGAATTAGTTATTTGATTTCCATTTATTTATCAATCAGTTCAGATGTCTCCTAGTGTAGGCAACTGATAATACATGTTTAATATGTTCAGATTTTCAATTCAATTTATTTCTATAGCGCCAACACAAGTCATCTCAAGGCACTTTACAGTTCACCAGATCATGCAGTCAAATTGATTCAATCAACACTAACATAATAAATCTAAAAGCTGTCATAAGTTTGCAGCATTTAATCCGCCTAACGACAAGTGTGTGATCCTTTCACCCAGTGTTTTGAATTTTGACTAGTCTTTTTTAGAATTAAATTCATCCTTCCATGTTTATCTTTAGTTTATCTCAGATGAAAGCTGAAAAACAAAATTAACTGATTTTCAGCATTCGGGAAAACAGTGGAAGATTTTGCAGCCCTTTAAAGCTGTTTATGTTTTCATCCATCCATTTTCTGTCATACTTAAAGATACACTATGCAACCGGTGTTGATTTTCCAGCGAGGCTCCCCCCAGAGGGCGAAAGTAAAAGTACACTGTC